ATTTGAAAAAATGTAACTTATGACATGTAGCTAGTCACGTGACATCGGCACTTTTTCATATTTTCTGAAGCAAAACTCGACACCTAAGTCGAATTTCAAAATAAATTATTATTAATTATTATAATTTTATTATTAAGTTTTTCCCATATGATGCCGACTTTATTGATGACACTGTATATAATTTCAAATTTGTCATAGAAACTGATATTTTATCTGATATGGTTGGCCTATGTTGAATTTGTTTTCTGTTTCAAAAAACTCATATACTTATGATAAAGATAAACTTCTTGGATTGTTCTTTTATGGAAAATGAAAAAACAATTTTGAATCAACTTTTTTCGAAAAAAAATACATTCGTCATAAAGATTGCACTTGTTTGGACCTTTTGAACTTGATGAATTCTGCCATATTGGATTGCAATGTGATCAAATCTGAAATGGTTGCTTATATAACTAAACAAAATTTCAAAAAATTCCGTTTACTAATGCAGAAGTTACCGGATTGGCCGATATATTGGTCAGACAGACAAAAAGTTAAATCACAGTATTCAGGAACATCATGAAGTTAAAAAACATAATTATGTAAAAATTTCAACATTTTATTCAAGGACTTGTCCTTTTGTTCCACAAACAAGGCAAATATTTATAGGGATTTACCTAGTTCTTGAGGATATCTGAATGTGCTTCCTCCTTTTCACTATATTATGTAGAAACTTGTGGAATAGTGTGGTGATAATGATCTAATAGTGAACAAGTAGTTAATTGAATTTCTTGCATAATAATTGAAACACTCTTGAATATCATTTCACTATTTCTAGATGGGGGAACCCCTAACACGGATTGGGGGATTCACAGAAGTTTGTTGGAAAATTGATCATCTTATCATTTCATTTGCAAAATATGATTGATTATATGTACTATTAAATGAGATCTTGAGATGAAAAAAAAGATATATTTTTTGACAAATAATATAATCTCTTTTGAACAATATAGGTCAAAAGTCACGTGACATCGACCAAGTAGGCACTTTTTCATCTTTTCTGAAGCAAAACTTGACGCCCAGTTGAATTTCAAAATAAACTATTATCAAGTTTTTCCCATATGATGCCAACTTTATTAATGACACTGTATACAATTTCAAATTTGTCATAAAAACTATGATTTTATCTGATATGGTTGGCGTGTTGAATGTGTATTCTGTTTCAAAAAACTCATTATAATAAAGATCAACTTCTTGGATTGTTCTTTTATGGAAAATGAAAAAACAATTTTGAATCAACTTTTTTCGAAAAAATTACATTCCTCATAAAGATTGCACTTGTTTGGACCTGTTGAACTTGATTATGTGAAAATATACAGGATGTTCCATTTGAAAAAAAAAAATACTGGCATTTCTAGAAAAACGGAATTCTGCCATATTGGATTGTAATGTGATCAAATCTGAAATGGTTGCTTATATAACTATACAAAATTTCAGAAAATTCCGTTTACTAATGCAGAAGTTACAGGATTGGCCGGTATATTGGTCAGACAGACAAAAAGTTAAATCACAGTATTCAGGAACATCATGAAGTTAAAAAACATAATTATGCAAAAATTTCAACATTTTATTCAAGGACTTGTCCTTTTGTTCCACAAACAAGGCAAATATTTATAGGGATTTACCTAATTCTTGAGGATATCTGAATGTGCTTCCTCCTTTTCACTGTATATAATATGTAGAAACTTGTGGAATAGTGTGGTGATAATGATCTAATAGTGAACAAGTGGTTAATTGAATTTATTGCATAATAATTGACACTCTTGAATATCATTTCACTATTTCTAGATGGGGGAACCCCTAACAGGGATTGGGGAATTCACAGAAGTTTGTTGGAAATTTGATCATCTTATCATTTCATTTGCAAAATATGATTGATTATATGTACTATTGAATGAGATCTTGACATGAAAAAAATAATATATTATTTTTTGACAATTAATACTATAATCCCTCTTGAACATTATAGGTACCAGATAAAACCTATTCAATAATTCCCCAGTTTCATTTGAATTTCAATGTATCAGATTTGTTGTTCAACTATTAGAATGTCAAACTCCTACATATCTAATTAATAGAAATGAACAAATCAATATCTTCATGTTATTGTTATATATACAAAGATACCTAGTGATAAACATACTGATAAGTAAATAATTTGCTTTATTGAAAAATCTTGAATGTATTGTTTGAATTACAGAAAAATCCTCTTTATTGAAATTATTGGTCATAGCATTGCATTTGTAATTGTTGTTTTCATGTTCAGAATTAGGTGTAGTTCAGAATAATTTTACAAATGTCTTCCAACATTTGCAGGAAGAGAAGGAAGGTCCTCTACCCAAAATTTGATATCATCATCAGAAATTGACAATATTTGTATTTTTAATAAGAACTCATTTTCAATTTATCTGTTGAGGAATTAACCACTAGCTCATTGTTTAGTATTTCCAAGCCAGCAAAGCCTTTGTCATCAACAAGTTATTTTGTCATAAGTTCAACAATAGGCATGTGAAAATGTGGGGTGGGTTTCTTACCTAAAACACAGCAATCAGCTCCTCTATAGAAAGCAACACCTAGAGATTGAAATCGTTCTTGTCCAGCTGTATCCCAAATTTGCATTGTTACAGTTCTGTCATCAACAGTTAGTTCCTTTGTTAGGAAATCTGCCCCAATAGTAGCCTTATATTGGTTTGAGAACTTCCTATTGACATACTGATTCATGAGGGAAGTCTTGCCCACACTAGAGTCTCCCAAGATGATAACCTTGAGCAAAGTCTTCTTTCTGCTAGCCATTTTCCTTCCTGATGAACAAAATATCATAGAAAAATCAATTGATTAATGACTCAACAGATTAATAATAGCCAATCAACACATGTAGAAGAATGACATCAGCTAAAAAACATAACAAAGGATAACCACCTCAACCAGATATAAATAAAGAAAGAACACAAAACAGAAATAGGGTGAACGTTGATAAATCTTGTGCCTAGTGTTCAATAATGTGGGGTCATCAACTCATCACACCTAGACCCGAATACACAATAAACCCTGATAAGGCCCAATTATAGACATAATAATAGTGTACGATGTCAGCTGATATTTATGCGATAAAGCCTATGATAAAAACACCTGCTTGAAATAAGGAATATGGAACTGCAATAACTGCATAATTACATAAATAATTTAACTCACTTGCGAAATGTTATAAGAATAATACAAATTGATATTTCTTTTCACGAAAATTTTACTGCGTACAATTTTGACAAAATGACACTGAAATCACCACACAACACACAACTGACGAGTGACGAACTTACCAACTTACGATTGAAGAACTACAAACACAAGTGGGTGGTCTGTGAAGAAAAACAAAACAAAAAATGGCGTTTTGTCTAGTTTCTAGTTTCTTCTTCTGTCTTTTTTAAATCCGTCGAATTCAATACTACCTGAATTGAAGCATCTTTAGATTCTTAAGTACGCAAAAGAGACAGGGGGTCTACTCTTGAGCTTTATTCGTATACGAATTCGATCTATTTATCTTCTATTTCACTCCAATATACGTCACATACGTAAGCGCATCTTTGTTTATCCGTAGAATCGAATTACATGTCAACACATCACGTCATACGTCAATGTCAATACTACTAAGTTGTTTTTTCTTGTCGAACCGAGTTCAAGATTAATCTTGAACCGTTTTCAAGCGTGACGTACTAATTCGTCTCATTCAAGAAAACAGACTATTTTGAAATGGAAGCCGTCATAAGTCAGATACAAAACACATAACCTGAAAACCGAAATCAATAATAAAATTTTGAAATTGATGATTATCTGTAGGAACTTGAAACTTGAGAAGTGTAAAAGAATGGAATCACTAAAAGTGGCATTTTTAATTGATAATCAGCAGATGAGGCAAGGTGTTTGTCTTCCACAAATGCTGAACCAGTCCAAAGAAATAATAATAATCGGGAAATGATTATTCTTCACAAAAATTTCCAGCATCCTGAAGCGGAAAATTATGTAACATACCATAAGGCGACTGAGATTAAGATCGCAGCGCCAGAACGGCGAAACTGGTACTACTCTATGGGCCATTCCTGGATTGTTTATATTTGTTTACAGGCGGTATTATGCTATATTTTCAACGTGTTGAATATTTTCAAACAAATTTATTCAATAACTTCTCAAATAGAACACATGTAAACTAATTTGAACAAAGTTAGACAAAGTATTACATGGCTCATACGTTAGTTATATTCAGGACGACAGAGGGCGTACTCCTTAGCATGTTTCGCCTTATACTCCTCCACTGGTTTTTCTGGTTCATATAGAAGTTTTTGAACCGGAATGAACCGTATTAAGCGAGGTTCACAACCAAACTTTCCACGTTTTGCTTTTCACGTTTCGTATTCTGATTGGTGAAGGGGAATATGAAATTAAACGTCATGTCAATTCCAGACTTTACTTGGTGACGTCATAACTTGCGCAAGCAAATGCTTGATTTCAAATCTTTTCGAACACGGTTCAACAAGAAAAAACAACTCTAGACTCTAGAGTCAGTAGTCTAAAAACTCTTGGTCTAGCTCTAGATATAGGCTCTAGCCTCAAATTTCTGACGTCAGAATGGTAGTTCATGGACTGATTTTTTGTTTTTGTTAGAAAAATTGGAGAAAATGGCTAGATTAGTCAGAAAATGGCTAAACAATTTTTCGTCTGCAGCGGTTTCGTTTTTAGCCATAATTCAGCCTTTTTCCAAGAATCATCTAACCGTTTTCAAACTTGGCTATTGGCAACACTGTTTTGTATTCGAAAATCACAGAGCAAACAACAAACAACACAAATCACTAAATCACAATTCACAAATCATATGGTACACTGACACACTTACTATACAGGCCACAGGCATTGACGCACTAGGTATTAGTGGTATTATTATTATGGTATTAATTATTATAAACATCTCAGCTTGCACCTAGCGCCGGTGACTGAACTGTAAATGCAATATTAAAATTTGAAAGTGGTTTAAAAACACTGATCAAATAATGTCAGATCTTGAAAATTGGGGTGAGGATGATGAGGATGATTCCAACTATGTTCTGCCAGCTGAAATAGAAAATGGGCATCTAACTTCTAACACAGAAGGAGATTCAGCTGACTCCTCAGGTAAATATAGTTCACTGCACAAGTAGTAGAAGGTAATCCTACAATTTGTTCATCAATCATCATCTTGTGATATCCTTAATAGAGAGACAAGTTTTCAATAACCCTCTAATATGTGGGCTTGTTGATATTCCTACTGATGGTATCAGGGGATTTATTACCAGTACATAGTATGCTTAAGCTTACGGCCCCGAGCCTTGCAGGGGCCCCGCAAGGGCTCTTTCATTGCATCATTTGTATGTTTGAATGGAATGAAACATTGAGAGAAATAAATGTTTCCTCTGACCAGAACCTATTTTATACAGGGTGTTTCATAATACATATATGCACCCTGTATAGCAGCAGTGGCAACTTTGCAAGTTGCTTATAAATCTTAAACATATGTAGTTTGAGCTCTTCAAAAGGCCCTGTTGCAAACTGAAAATAATTCAGTCATACCTGCCTAGAATAATTTAAAAAAGAACTGAAAATAATTGATTTTGTTTTTATTTTATTTTTTCAGTTGATATTTGAGGAATAAATTTAAAGGTGATCTTGTGATAGGCACCATATTTGTTTTTCAAACCATTGAATAGGGCTATTATAATTTCCTTCACAGCTATGTATAACTTAGTGCCCAAAAGCAGTAAAAACAATTTTTTTTTATTGATTGGAGCGCACAAAAGGGAATCCCTATAATGTTCAAAGAATGTGGTAGACCATGTTAATAAGAAAACAAAATATCAGTCCTCTTGACCACAGTTTATTAATTCTTCCTCATAGCCATGGTGATGGAATTTTGAATTTCATTCTCAGATATTGAAGCAAATAATCAAAATCAATGATTTCCATTTTTTTCATATATCAGGGACGGCTCCAATATTTTTTTTTGTTTTGTGTTATTTATGTCCAGTATATTTTTATCAATGAATATTTAGTTTTGTTCTTGTTTGTATTTGAGAAAGAGAAAAAATAATAGTTGGTATTATTGATTGAAAAATTGGTGAGCAAAAACAGAAAACAAAAAAAAAAACAACGGGAAATGAGGAAAGGGGCCGCAGGGACAACAAGAATGATTGAGCATAGGGCTCCAAAAAAAGGATCACCATTGATATCTCTTGAAGCAAGTCTTAAAGTACAAAATATGTTGAATTGCCACATGGATTTTTTTATCATTTCATGATTACTGTTAGTAGATACTAGAGGTATTTAATTGTCTTTTGAAACATTCACACACAAAGTGGTGCTTTCAGTGTTCAGATGTGAGTCTTGAACTTTTTGGGTTCATTAAGTTATGTAGGTACCCTTATTAGCTGAGGCAGCAAGAAAGAAGACTCCTGTTCTAGGAAATCGCCGCCTGAAGCTGACCTTATAAATTCATGTTGATTATGATCATTATTCATTCTATATTTTGCACTATTCATACACACTTGTCGCATTTGAAAATGAAATCTTGTTTTTAAAAACCTATTTCTAGTTTTCCAAATTATTTCTATTATCAACTCTTTATACTTAACCTAGTATTTTGCAGTTTTTTTTTCATGAAAAAAGGTACACCTGAGTAAAACCGGAAGTGATGGGGAGATTTTGAAAGAGATATGGAAGAATTTTACAATTCTTGATTCAGAACCCAGGAAACCATGGCTTGCTTAATAAATAAACTACTCAACACTAATTTCGCCGCATCTCAAAATTTTGCACCTGTTAAAATATGAATGATTATTTTCTGCTTTGAACAATTTGAATTCGGATCAAACTGTTTGTTAGCTCAGTCCTTCAGCTGTAATCTCGTTTTTCTTTAAAACTTGAGGTTCTTCATATAAAATCGATTCAGGGTGACACCTAAAACTATGGAAAATTTTTGAATTTTCCAGATTTTCAAATGAACAAAATCTTTTCATTACCTCAGAACATTTCTCAAATGGGCGTGTACACCTTAGTAGAACTTTTAACTCAAACCATGTTTATAATGATCCTTTCATACAAAAATAATGATTGACGAAATAATTCGACCGAAAAATTTGCTGTAATGTTTTATTTTTGGACATAAATAATAGTACCTTCTGAAAACGGACCCTCTCATGACGTAGAAACCTCATCTCGCCATAGTTAAAAGAAAATACAAAACGCCCGACGGAGACTGAGGCAACTGATATATTAATTCTTTCAACTGTGATCTCGCGCTAATTCATCCATCTCTGTCTAGAACAGTCTTGTTTCAGTATAAGGGTTTTGACGTCACATCATCGCCCCGTTTTCAGAGGTCCGAAAAATCGGGGATTTCAATATTTTTTTATAAAACGTAGGGAGCTCACAGCAAGAAACGGTTTGCGGTGGTGAGCTAGTTTGGGTGAGTTCTATCGAATTATGAAATGAAAATTTTTTGTGATATAAGCCCATTGTCTTTTTATCTCTTTTATTTACAGAGTCAGAGTGATCTCAAAAAGTCAAGTTTTTGGTTTTGCAGTCATAACTTCTAATGGAAGCACCCTGTATCTTTCATAATTATTGTTGAGCTCGTTGTTGAGTTAGGATTTTGAAATTTGCAGGAGCAGTAGATATACTAAAAATACACACTATGACCAAGTGGAGTCATCTTCAGTTATATGCACTGCACTGCAAAAAAGTCGGAACTATTACTTTTATTTATGCGTGCGTATACACTGATAACTAGTATCAAACGAAAAAAGAGAATTACAATTACTACAAGCATGACATGATATAGTTTATAAATTACCTGCAACTGTTGATTGTTATCATTTCTTCTCAGTGGGCCATTATTTCCGTATTGTTAATTATTGCCACGAATGCCACGTAACCCAAACTGACGGAAACGTGAGTGAGTATTGATAAAGACTCGTGCATTAGCTACCCTTCTCCTAGGGAAGCGATTTCTGTAGTCCCGAACTGCTGCCTCTGCGTTTCCATTACAAAATCCGTAAACGAAATGAATATCTGCATACTCTTCAGTACTAAATCCCATAGGCATATTGACAAACGGCAAAATTGGAATAAAATTATTACACTTTTTGATAAAAACACGGAATAACTCCAGTTTGTTATTTCTTTGACAGAACTTTCAAAGTGACAGCACATATAAACAGTGAACAGTGAGCAACTGAGCATACCCTACTTCTTTAATTGATATCAAGTATAATAATTATCTTCGCCACCCCAGGTTCAGCCGCCACTGAATAGGTTTTATGAATAATTTTTATTTAATCTAATAAAGCTCAAAAAGTTTAGTATCTGTGAAAAATTTCGTTAATTTATCTACCGTTTCTAACTTTTGATTAAAAAAATATATTCAGAAGCGTATTTTTGACACCCAATATCTCAAATACGAAGCGTTTAAAAGTATATGTTCATAGGAAGTTTTTTTATTATTTCAACGAGTACTATACGCTGTTGAATTTTCCGTATTAAAAAACGGACCACCCTGTATATTGAAGGGGTCATCAAAGCTGATATGAATGTAGTAGATGTAGTATGTATACTCGTCGTTATAAGACATGACAGTGTCAGCTATCTGCTTTGGAATTCTTTGCCAATGGAAGTACAGGGTGGGCAAAATTGGGCGTTTTCACCGTCTATCTCAAGAACTAGAGGAGTTATCGAAAAACCGATATACATGTTCCGGGTTCGATTTTGGAGAAACCTCGAATGGCACAATCAAAATTTCGATATCTTCATTCGTTTTAGAGATATAGGGGGAAATTGAAAATTTGCCGATTTCGATTTTATTTTCTGACTACTTTACGGTGAGGGGTATCAAAAAATTTCAAACGTATATTTATACAGTATGATGCGTGGAATCCATTGGCATCATCAGAAATTGTATACAGGGTGACGTTGAAAAGATACGGCAGCCAATTATGTTTTTTCTAATGGAACACCCCGTATATTTTGGCACAGTTGAATACTCCCAGGCGTTCTCATTACAAATATATATATAACCTTACCTTTTCCTTCCACAATTTCAGATATATTCGCAAAAATATATTCAGTGTGTCACATTTCTTATGGTTACACCCCCGTATCTTCTGTAAAAATAATTGAGGTAGGATTCAGAAATTCGCAACTGTCAGAAAGACACAAATGATACACTCATGGAGTCATGGACCAAGTGGGATCATCTCCAATGATAACACTGCTCGCCAGCAGCTATGGAATCATCGATATTTCTGGATAATGCTATCAACAGGCAGAATCGAGGTTGAAAATGACACTCTGTATATATTCACCAAATGTGGAAAATAAATATCGTAGGGAATGTAATTTTCAGATAAATGGATATTTGGTAAGAAATAAAATCGGAAATTATTCGATTTGATATCATTGTTATCAAGACATTTGAGATACAGTAGGTTGCGTTGAAAAATATAGCCTTATAGATATATGTATATCGGTTTTTCGATAACTCCTCTAGTTATTGAGATAGACGGTGAAAACGCCCAATTTTGCCCACCCTGTACACTCATCTTCAGCGAACATGTCGCGGTTGGACGGTATGAGCGCTTTTATTGCACCGGTGATCAAAGGAGCTGACACCGTCCATGTGCAACATGATCTCTGAAGACGAGTGTACATATTCCCAAGAACTTATAACTTCCAAAAGTTCAAAAAACTCCAACACCTACCTCCTCTCCCTATCCCCCCTAGATAAGCACAATGTTCTCCGAACATAATAGGAATTTACTTTCGTGCGCTCCGAGAGATGAATTAAATCGTGAGTTGTTCTCAGTAGACGAGTGTGCATCTGAATATGGATGAGTACGAGAATAAGTATCTAAATACTTTCAATTTTGCTCGTACGTATATTTTGATTTCTATAGCGTTTCAGGCGGTAATTAATTTTCATACTCCGAGGAAATGATTGTCACGTGTAGGTAATTCAAGTTTAGCTTTAGGCTCGGCTTTAGGGCTTCAAGTACACTGATTCCAAGAGATTATTTCTTTGGCGAAGTTCAGGTACATTCCAGGGTACATCTTTCGGCAAACGAAGTAACTCCTATATGTGTGTTGTGTCATGTCACTTTCAATATATTGGGAGTTGAGGTATTTCGAATTAAAAACATATTCGAAATCTAAATAAAAACAACAGATACTGCAATGAATCATTGGCAGAAATGATGAATAGAAGCCCCTCTCCACTTTATTTCGCTGTTACGTCATTCAGTGCAGTTTATTCCCGAGTATCTATTGCCTAATAATTCCGACTCAATGCCGCCTATTTCTGCATTTCTCCTTCAATAAGAAGAGGTGCGTTCGGTTTAACAAAATCGGAGCCGAGCGAGCAGATGCAGATTTGGTGTCACGTGATCACCTAGCAGATAGAGCTAATGGTATTTAACGAACGCTCAACGAGGTAGTAGATTGCGAGCGCCAGCTGTCAGAAGTAACAGAAAACAGAAACAATTCACTTAACCTTATTACTTTTAAAAACACGTCAGGGCAACAAAGTTCTTTTGAATGTTTGTTGTTTATATTTTGAAAATTACTAGGGAAGGAATGATTCTGTCTCATATGATCGGTCATTAACTGTGGATCCAGGGCAGTTGTGATCGCATATATTACAGATATATAATTAATATGCTACCTACAGCAAATTCGTCGATCATTCTGGCGATTCTGGGCAAGGAGGATTCTACAAAATTCAGTTTCGTGTTTCGTTTCCAGTTGATCGAGTCTTCAATTTTTCGACATAAAAGAGATATAATTTCAATAACATGTTGTTGACATTGATTTGTTGACAATTGACAACCGAATAACCGATCAAATCTGAATGATCTGCTCCTCAAGGCGGAGCAAACAGATTACATCTTTCAGCTCGCTCTGACAATTAACGAACACGGAGCAGATTAGACAGAGGAAGTAGATCTGATTTATCGAACGCTTTCCGAGCTAACAGATGGAATCGAGCTAACAGATATGTTATAACTGAACGCACCTAATGCCAAATATTGCCTTTTAGTGCCGCGATAATGCCTATAATGCCCCAATAAGTATTGGCATTTATTTTCAAACATTTTGTCATTCATTTCCAAACATTTTGTACACCTATTGCCGCCGTGTTCTCCCCCTAAATTGTACGTCCTGATTCTGAATTCGAAGTGATTATCAACCTATCTTGGCTCCTATATTATTTTCTGGAAATGTGGGTGGTTCCACGGCTGTTGGCGAGCCGTGTATATTATTGGAGATGACTCCACTTGGCCATAGTGTGTATTTTCAGTATATGTCCCGCTCCTGCAAATTTCAGAATCCTAACTCAACCATTACAAAAGATACCTGGGTATTTCCATTAGAAGTGAGATACACTGTAGATCAAGAGCTTTCTCAAATTTGGCCCAAATCTGGAACACACTCGAAATCCCCGATGGGAGGAGAATTAAATAAAAATCAACTTGTTTTCGGAGGGATAATTTATTTTTGATGCGTCCAGATCATTCTTGCTTTCAGAAGTCAATTTTGATATAAAAAGTAACAAAATTAAATATCTAGATATTGTCATAGGTGAAAATCTCAAATGGACTGATGAAATAAATACTCTCATCTTATTATTGTATAAATCTGCTTTTATTATTTCAATAAGAAATTAGTTCCAGGTGATCCTTGATTATCACACAGTAGTAGTTGTAGATTATATAGTTCCATAAATGAGAAACTAATTTGCATTCAAAAATTACTTTAGATGATGAAAATCCAAGTCCAACCAATACTGGAGAATTTGACACTGATCTACCCACAGCGCATAAGGTACAATAACTTGATAGAATGTTTGACCAATACTCTTAATTGCTGATTTACAGTATTTGGGAAAATTGAACAGTGTTAGTGGATACACACTATACGACGATGGTGAAGTTGTCGACCTTTTGGCAGTATATACTACTACGATGGTCTTTCCTGGATTCACTCTGCCATTGGTTATAAATAGCTATGAGGAGTCTATAATGCAGAACTTCACCGATCAAAAAAGTATATTTGTTCTGTTGTGTGCTAAGTAAGTGAAGGATTTTCGAATACATAAAAATCACTTTCACAGTTAATAATGAGGTCGTTTATATGGTAACAATCAGCCCCGTCGATGACGTTTTAGAAATAGGGTACCTACCGTTTAGTGGAATATTATTATTTTTTTCGTTAACTTTTATTTAACGTTTCACCTATCCTAAAGTGCATAAAATAGTATATACACCTCAGGACTAAAGCGTGTTCAAATTCTTCAACAGATCATAGCTCTCCTATTGGTCGGGATGTAAACTTCTTGTCTCGGGATCTAAAATAGCACTTTAGCCCGTAAGTGTATAAAGTACTATTTGTTTCTTAGTGTATAATGGTCGAGCCATCAGTATATTTCGAGAACTTGAATTTAGGTTTTTCAATAACATTCTGACTTACACTTCTCATACTCTGCTAAAAATTTGACCAAATCAGAAAACAAATTTATGGGTGACTAAAATTATTAACTTATCCTAATCCGGCATAGCGCCGCTATTACCTATCCGATTTCGAAAAACAAAAACGCAAATGTAATGATTTATCAGATACTTCAAGGTGACACTGACATTTTTTTTTCAATAGGAACGTTTGCTTCAGATGAATTTCCATAACATAAGTTCGGAACTCTCCAGTTTCATGTCCACGCTGTACAGAATAGCGACCTATAAACTCCAAGTCGTTTTCATTTTCAAATTGAAGCAATTTTTAATTCTCGGGGCGGCAATGACGTTAATTCTGAATCTAGTATGAAAATAGCTGATATTGACGAATATAGCTAGCGAATAGCTAACGAATAGCAAATAGAAGAAGCAAAGCTGGTAAACAAAAACATACATAGTTGGCTTCATTCTGACAGGTTATGGTTTTGTTATTTATGCATTGAAATATCTCGAATAGAGTTCGATCCTAAACAAAAATATCATTGAATTAATGAATCAGTATCGGCTACATTCCTAATTTACTGTCATCGGTCAGAGCAGAATGAAGCCGACACCCATGGCTCCTTCCTCTTGTTGTGCCTGTCAGTATTTTGATAGATGTGGACGGACTCGAAGTATTAGGCGCTGTTGCAAGATGTAATCTTCAACTTTCCTAGAAAATAAATCCGTTTTATTAAGCAACGAATTCATTAGCAAAAAATGACAGACAAGTTATGAATAACATATTGTAATATACCGATAGTGAAAAATTATAGATACTATCGCAAAATATCATAATTTATCTTTATTAGTAATCAACTTCATTCAGCCAATGAGAGATTTCTTGGAATTATTCATAATACTTGACAAAGTAGTATTGAAGAACCTATTATATCCCATTGCTGTTATGATATAGTTATTATGCATTCAAAGACCAATTTCCTGAAATCTAGTCATAGGAATGGTGGAGGAGCCAAATTCCTCTTTTATTTTTATTTTTTCTGAAGTGAAATGTGATCTTATGAAAAAAAGACAAAAAAAAAACGTATATATTAATTTTTTTTAAACTACAGAGTGAGATAAGAACCTGATTATAGGAAACTTCCCCATTTCAATTCAAAGGACTGCGATTGTCAACTTTTTTTTCTAATGGCATTGTATATCTATCGATTATTTTTATGATAGAGATTTTTTTTGTTGATACAATATGATGTATAACAATTTGACTTCCGCGCAAAATTAGTTGTAAAAAATGTATGCTCTAATTGAAATCCGTTCCTTACAAAAAATAGACATTATAATGTTAACTATTCCACTCTTGTTCTGTAGAATTAACCAGAATCGGCCATTTTCACGGTTTCTCCTGTATTACAGCGATATTTTTTTGTTTACCGAATTCACTGAATTGACCCACACGTGACCAACCTTCCTCGTTTTTCAGCGATAAAATTTTGGACGTTTCAAACGTCAATTATGTTGGATGCCAGAATGATGGATGCAGTGTGCGCAACTCTCGCAAGCCGCTCGTTTATTGTCTCAATCATGGAATACCCATACGAATCGTTACCATCGAGACAATATACGAATACAACTCGTGATACTATTCTTCCTGGAAATATTCGTCGATTGATATACTTCAGCTTGCTGCTTCAATTCCGCTTATGACATTGTTCCAGAACTTATCGCCTACGACTCGAAAGTTTTGATAAACAATGTCATTCGGCGAAATTATTAGGCAACAAGCTGTCGTAACAATCGACGAATATTCCCGGCAAAATATTTTCACTTGTGGTATTACATATGAGAAAATGATTCATTGAAAAGAAAGTGACTGTCTTAGGAAATTGCAAATTTGAAAGAGTATACAGAATGATCCATTTCCTGACGACGGAGCATCCATTTTTTTCACTACTTTTGCGCGAAACTCAACTTTTTATTCATCATCAGTGGCCATCAGCGTAGCCTCGTGGTTGAAGCGTCAGTATTCTATCCACGTTGGATTGCCGGTAGGTGGGTTCAATTCCCACCACGACTGCAGAAATTTTCCTGATGGCCTAAGAAAGTCATTCATCAGTGTTCCGTCATTTTGCTCATGGAAGTGTCCCGAATGTTACGGGGCTCTTAAGTTTTCTATTATTTTCCAGCAAAACCCAAGGTGCTCACTGCAAACTTCTTGGGATTACAATTGATGGCAATATCATAAACAAAAACTGAACAGTGGGCTCTCCAGAATACTATTCCTTATAAGAAGATTGCGATTTGTTATGAGTCCTGAAGTGTTGAGACAAATATATTTCAGATTATTTCACTCCCGCATCAGCTATGGTATAATATTATGGGGGAACTCAAGCAATGCCATAAGTATTTTCAAATCTCAAAAGAAAGCCTGTAGCCTACTTGCTGGTGTGGGCTTCAGAGAACACTGTCGACCGTTATTTACTGAAATGCAAATAATGACACTACCTTGAATTTATATTTATCAAATTATCTGTGAAATTCACTCAAACAGGAGCGATTACACTCATTCCTCAGATATTGATGGAAATGAAAGGAGATCAGCTAACCAACCGTTACAGGTTAACAAAATCGGAATCAAATTCCATTAATTTGAAGCTTTACAATAAGTTGAGTTCCCAGTTGCGCTCCTTGAATGATAGAGATCTAAAAACTGAAAAAACCTATTGGTGAATAATTGTTTTGAATTCATTAATTTATTTACATTTTAAGCCCCATATGTTTTGTGCGAAAATTCGACGTGATGTGAACCTTTGTGTAAAATAGCCAAATAAATCTATCTATCTATTATCAACCATAATACCCATCTAGGGGGTTTTTTCATGGTTATCCCCCTAGGAAAAAAATTAACCATTTAACTCTTATGTTTTTTAATGCTCTACCGTTGTTAGATAAACAATTTTTGTCACCTTCATGACTATGTAATTTTTTATTAGGCTGATGATGGACATACGTATGTCCGCATACATGTTCCCTTGATGTGTTTATTGACAATGAACCCGTGAGTTCTCTCAATGAATTGTCGTGGAGATAACTTTGAACTATAGACTTCTACAATAGATTATTGCCTAACAAAGGGTTCCGGATCACACGTTAAAAGGTAAGACCCCTGTCATGAATATTGAGATTCTCCATAACATCTAAGAGTATCTAAAATATCTAAAAATATCTAAAAATATCTAGAATTATCTGAAAATATCTAAAAATATCTAAAAATCTCCACCCACGTTTACATAAAGGCATACTATCTTACAAATTAAACAGGTAACATTAATACATTTACTGCGAAGACAGAGGGTTTGTGGGCGTGGTGTGAATGTTAGAAAAAAAAATCCTAATAGAACAAATCGACCTAGTGCATACCTACCTTAATATACAAAACTAATATTATCTGTTTTACTATAACGATATGTACTAATATATAAGAATATTCGAAATACTTTAAATTATCATGTTTTTTTCCTAGTTGTCTATTATGTCATGAATTGACAGACGAGGAGTTTCATATAAGTACTGATTCACAATTTTTTTCAGCATGGAGAGGGAATATATAGTTTTTATATCATGTGGTAGTGTGTTGATTACTTTCGGACCTAGGAATTCATGTGATTTTTGTCCTATAGATTTGGCAGCAAAAGGTATCAGGTTGAATGATGGATAAGAACAATTTTTCAAAACAACAATCATTGTATTCAGAAAAAAATCTCTATCAGAAGAAAAATTGAGAAATATGCAATGTCATTTGAATATAAAAAAGTTGAGAATCGCTGTAATCAGAGTTGAAATTGGAAAAAGAAATTGTTAATGTCACCTTGATGAATCATTTTATTTGCTTTTTTGATTTTCAAAATCGGATAGTTGATAGTGGCGCTATGGCTTGGGGCGTTTTTTGTCAGTCATCCTCTATATCCGATTAATTTTATTCCTTAGTTCTACATTCGATGGCATTTACAACTACGGTGTGACAATGCAGATATACGAGTCTGAGATGCGCAACTACTTCGTCAATATTAAGGCTAAGGGTCGGCAAAGATGTAAACTGGTGCCGGGACGAGAAATCAAGAATTTGTCTGAGAGGTTGAAGCAAGTCACAGTGAGGGTGATCGCCGAATCTCCCATTTCATCCCCTCTTTGTGATACACAAATGCTCACGCTCAAGCAAAGGAGGCGGTTCACTTCGAGCAAGTTTAGTGATATACTCCAGGACTACAAGTATAGGCGGTAGGTATGGTGTATTTAATTACGTTCTTTTGTTGCTAAAACCCAAAACTGCTCTTTTTCTACGGCAATAACACAATAGTCAGGACAAGAAATCGGAAAAGTGAAGTTCTAGAAGCAAATCATATAACATTCGAGTTAAAGGTGTTTTATAGGTAATTCGACCCTGCTGAATCCGAAAATGCTTGTTACCAACTCGAAAGCCAGACCGGAAATGAGATATTCAAGATGGCGGCCTATTTTTTGCATATATCTTGAAAACTATGTGGTTTAACGCAAAAATTGTTCCATATAAAAATACTCTACATTGAATTTTGGAGGAAAAAGTTCCCAACACGTTTTTTCACAAAATGAACAGTGACGGAGGTATGGGGGGAAAGTGAATTTCAATTTTGAAATATCTTGAAAAATTTTGTATTTTATAAAAAAGGTACTCTTTTAAAAATCGCAATCAGTCACCGTTTCCTCCGAAATTGGCTAAATCCAAACAATAATAAATTATTGGTCTTAAACCAATTATTACGTTGAAACACCCCCCTGGTTTGTACGCCCCTGGTTGAAGGTGACAAAATCTGGAAGGCTCAAATTGATGAACCTACGAACTAGATTTCATGTCCCAAAATTGGTTGCGATAGCTGCAGTAGTACCGAGGCTATAAAACGAAAAGTAGTTTTTGAAGGTCATCTTCGAAGAGCCCTAGCTCCCTGGAGAAGCGTTTCCGGACACATGTTCACATGAACTTTTTTTCTTATTTTCGTGTGTTTTATCTACCCTAGAAGTTTGTAACATGATCACCGGAACACCCTGTATAATTCCATTGGCACAATCATTTAAAATTATATTTTTCGAGATATTTCAAAATTGAAATGGTCTTCCCTCCCATATCTCCGTCACTGTTCATTTTCAGGACAAACTTGTGGAGAAATTTTCCTTCAAAATTTAGTGTAGAATCTTTTTGTATTGAAAAATGTTTGTGCTTAACCTCATAGTTTTCAAGATATATGCAAAAACTGCAAAAAAATAGGCCGCCATCTTGGATATCTCACTTCCGGTCAAGATTTCGAGTTGGTAACAAGTATTTTCAGATTCAGCAGAGTGGAATTACTCATAAAACACCTTTAACTCAATTGTTATATGATTTGCTTCTAGACTCATAATGGAAGCCTTTTTCTCAAATCTAGTCCTGACTACAAGATTGCTCTCGTTTTACTGTGTTCGCTACATCAATGAGGTACTTTGTATGTCATTAATTTTATTTCCGTATCTGATATCACAATGACTTCAATGTGTTATTATTTGAAAAAAAATCATCGCCCATGGAATGCCAAATTGCAAGCAATGATAGATCTGTCTAATAGATGAGCATTACTTGACCGGACCGGCTACAAGACGAAGAAATCAAAAATGTCGCTGTTATCTATTATAGCCGTAGAAAAATTATAGTGTATAACTTGCATGGAATGCTTATTTCCTACTCGAATGATTGCAGCATTTTCCTATGGCTCATGCTGCAAACTTCATTCTCGTAGGAAATCACTATCATTCTGTGCTCGTTAAACAATATACTAATTCTTAACTGTTTTCGAGGTGCACTGTATGTCTTCAATTTCATTTCCTCACCTGATGAAATATTTACTCTGTTTTACAGTTGTGGTTATTATGATACAATATATTACGTCTACCATGGAATGTCGATAAAGACAGCTTTGTTATTGAATGTTATTTCTGTTGTTATATTATTATTATTATTATTATTATTATTATTATTATTATTATTATTATTATTATTATTATTATTATTATTATCAATTATATGTTGAAGGTATAGAAAAGGTATAGCGTATAACTCGCACATGCTGCAAAATTCATACTCGTGGGAAACAACTGTCACCTCATGCTTTAACTTTTGTCCAGTTAATAAAATTCTTTGATGTCTGATTTGGTTAGGAGTAAGCTGAGTGTCATACATTATTTTATAAAAAACTTCACAGTAGATCGATCACATAAAATAGCTATTTATTTTAAGGGCAGAAGACCGAGAGCTAAAATCTAAAATTTTTCCCGTGTTCTATACACTATTTTTTATGTGACAGGAAGAAAGACGATTCAATATTAAGAATTACATTATATTAAAATGGGGAAATCATTATTGTGAAAATTGGAGTTTATAACTGATAGTCAGCGACTATGGGCGAGTGGACAGATAATGCAGTATTGGCATTCAATTACTCCACTATTCAACGCTTCTCACGCTTTTTTAAACGAACCTTCATATGGCCGCCATTTTGCAATACGTCGAATAAATGGTGCCGTCAGTTTTTATGCTGTTTCGTTATAGGTCTGATAACCTTCCATTTCCACTCATGAAACAAGGTTTCCAAGTCACCATTTATAATCAAGTTATCATAAAGATGTTGAGTCTTGTCGTTGAATAAAAAATTAAAAGAGGAGACTTGGCAACATTGTGCCGAATGCTGAGAACTGATAAGACCACGCCCACAAGTCGTACGCGGGGTTGTCACGTTCACTGATTCAAATGTCCTCCAGTGTGAATTAATGTAATAATTATTATTTACACAAATTTATCAAAAGCAATAAGCCACAAATCATAAATGGGCATTTTGAGACAATTGCATTTTTATTGCTAATTAGGAATATTACCAATACTCAATTGAGAATTCATGAATTATTGAATAACTAATATTTTTGAAGGCCATTCCAACTGTGCTATAGTCTGCCCCTACTTAAATCGTATATATTGGTGACATTTACGATACATCAAATTATACCAACAGTTAACAGTTGAATCGATTTGAAAATTGAGAAATTTTTACTTGATATATACTCAAAATAAAACAGCTAAGTGAACTGAAAAAAAAAGAATGAGCTGGAAAAGGAAAAGGGATTATCTTGTGAGCACTGGATAGAAGAGTTTGGTCGCCGAACGATATGTTTGAAAGATCAATATAATTGTAGAGTATTCAAGTGGTGTTGTTTGAAATATATCAGCACATTTTATCAATAAATTGATGCATTCATGTTATATGTTACTATTCTTCAATCATATGCATATTCAAATTGAATTCACGCATATCTGTTTGTTTGCACACGGACGAAAAAACGGGAAAATTGCTCCGTCAAACACAGCAAAATGGGCCTACCTGGCTAATACTCCTTCCAGAGTCCTTTCCATTTACTGCTTGGTTGCAACCACCTTTTTTTCTCTTGGAGGAGGGATGCTGGTTCAAATGGCTCGCAGTGGTAGTTTTATCTTGTCAGAGGTATCACTTTATTGCCGGCAAAATGCGATCGAAAGAGCAGTGCAATCCATCAACGTGTTCTGATCACTGATAGCACATGAGTGAGTAAATGAAAATAGGAGAGCGCACTATCATTCTTGACTCTTCTCGATAGGTACCACATCAAGCTGATATTTTGACAGAGCATATAGTCGCGAAGTGAATTACACTAGACGCACAAAATTAGAAGCAAATATAAGAACTGAAAATTGATTTGATAAAGTATATTTGAATGAATTATTCTCAATATATCAAGCTACGACAAAAAACATATTGAAAAGAAAAAATATATAAAAATTAATAATATATTATCTCATTTATATATATTCTATTACTAAGACTAAACATACCCCACCCCAAAATACCTTGTATTTTAACAAGATTTATTATAATTACATGGTAAAGGGCACAATTTCACTAAGGGTCTCTGGAAGATCCCTTGTGGTGTACGAACGGTCGCGACTCGAACAATTCCATCAGGTCCCGGATGAGTTTTTGTTACCCTGCCTAAACGCCAATGTAATGGAGGCGTGGCTTCATTTTTTATGAGCACAAGCTCACCAACTTGTACGGACCTATCATTTTTCAACCACTTTTGTCTCTGCTGGAGAGTGTGCAGATACTCATCCCGCCACCGCTTCCAAATATCTTGATGAAGCCTCTGTATCAATTGCCAGCGATTTAAATGATTCATTTTGAGATGTGAAAGATCAGGGTCAGGCACTGAAGTTAGAGGCTCAAGCGTCAGAAAGTGACCAGGTGTCAAAACTGATAAGTCATTGGGATCTGAACTCAGGGGGCATAATGGACGAGAGTTAAGGACAGCTTCGATTTGCACTAATAGAGTATAGAACTCTTCATACGATAAAATTTGGGTACCAACCACCCTGTATATGTGCGATTTAACTGACTTTATACCGTTGAAATGGGGCGATGCTGGAGCATTAAAGTGAAAAGACAAGTTTTCCTGTTGGGCAGCGGTTTGCATATGCTCAGACAGAACTCGGTGAGCACCCACAAAGTTAGTTCCACAATCAGAGGTTATTCGGGAGCAGCGCCCGCGGCGGCCTATAAATCGGCGCAAAGCAGCGAGAAAGGCGTCAGTCGAGAGATCTGACGCTAATTCCAAATGGATTGCCTTGGTAGCAAAGCAGATGAATAGGCAAATATATGCCTTTTGAGATCTGATTCCCCTTCCCTTACCTAAGGTTATATTGAAAGGGCCACCAAAGTCCACACCGACACATTGAAAAGGCTTAAGCTGACTTACTCGTAGAGCGGGCAAGTTTCCCATAAACGGTTCGAGAGGGATGGGTTTGACCTTGAAACATTTCAAACAATTTGACAAAACATGCCTTATGGCTCGTTTAGGTGACAGTATCCAGAAATTTTGGGATATTAAATGCTGGAGTGTTTGAAGTCCAGGGTGGAAATTTTCTCGATGAACACTCTCAATAATGAGGTCAGTGAGACGATGTTTTCGAGGGAGGAGAGCAGGGTGCTTGCGCTCGTATGATAAACCCGAGTGTTGGAGTCGACCTCCTACTCTTAGGAGACCATCGTCTCCAAGAAAAGGGTTCAATTTTCGAATGGGCTTTGATAAGGGAACGTGATTGTGAATATTCAAGATTTCTTCAGTGAAAGAAGTGTATTGAACCCGCTTCACAAGTACTAGCAACCCTTGATGTAATTCCTCTTGCGTGA